CAGATCGCAGCAACTGAGTGCTGAATCCAGATAAGCCTTTCAGACTGGCCGCCCAGCAGTTCAAAAAATGTCACTGACAAACAACAATTTAGTAGGATTCCAAAAAGATACATAGTTCTTTTCCCCTAGATTGGCACTTTCTGAGATGTTTCCTGGAATAACCTTCCCGTACGATATTAATAGATGTCCCTAGAGTAAAGGATTTTGTTTAGAATGACTGGGCTAGATCAAATTCAGAAAAAATTGTGTAGGGGTGAGGGTGGGCATGGTAATAGTGTGCTGCATTTGCCAAACAGGCTTGACCTTACAACACCTACTCACATCTCCAAGGGCCCTTGGGAAATACTACTCTACTCCCAGCCCTCTGAAGTAAACCAAACCCCGCCCCCCCCTGCAAGCCCAGCCTTCACTGCCTTCTGCTGTGGAAAGGCACCATAAACTCTGCAGAGAAACCCTAAGAGCCATATGAAACTCATTGCTAGGACTTCCAAATAAATGAGTGGCAAAATATTATTTAGTACCTTGTATGCCATTTTCTTTCTGTAGACCCTCAGGAGAAATAAGACTGTTGTAGAGCCAGCAATAGTTGAAATTCTTCTGAACAGTTGCTTTACCCTTTTGTCTTGTGGCCCCCATGAGCTGGGTAACTTCGCAATGGCCACCAGCAGCCTAGAGCAGCTCTGTGGCCCGCTGTTGTAAATCAGTAGCCCATAACTGGCAGACAGGATTCATTCTTGTCTCAACGATGTATACCCACTGTTTCTTTTTCCTCATCTACAAATAATTTTTAGAAGGTTTTTCTTTTAAATACCTTGAAAAGCTACCTTAAATCCTTTTTCGTTCCAGGCAAGAAAGATAAGTGATACAACACATTACCTATTGCCAATCTAGCTGTCTAATTGGTAAATTGATATTGACTTGTGTCTGAGTCTATTGGAGCTTTGGGCTTATCAACAAGGTTGATAGGTAGTTGATGTGCAGCCACAGCTGCGGTGAGAACTAGGGGCTTATTTCAAAGGCATACAAGTGTTTTTGACTCTGCAGACTCAAGTATAGCCATCCTTGTTTTCTGTTTCTCCCATCATGGACAGCCATGAACACAACAGCCATCTTTTTCATTGTTTCCCCTCTGTGTTGAGCTCAGAAAACATTTTGTCCGTTTGTGTTTTGTCCTAAAAGGGCTGAAAATATTTATGAAGAAATCCTAGAAATTTAAGACTAAAAAAAGACCTTAAAGCTCATCTAGTCTAGGGCTGGCAGGTAGGTTTCAATTGTCATGCTATTTCTAGTCCATTAGGAATATTGTATTGAGAATTCTGGGCCAGAGAGGAATAAAAGGCCAGACTGATTAGTGATGGCTGCCCTGGGTTGGCAGGAGAGGAAGTGGGAAGGCTGCACATTTGCTGGCCCAAGTCTCTCCCTTTGGCACATGAAGTGACCTGAGAAGATGGCACTGGAAACCAAGTGTCCTTACGCTCTACTGGCTGAGGTACTCCTTCTTCTTCCAACTATAAAGCTAGAAAACTAAAGTGCTGAAAAATTAAGCTACTTCCAGATTTGCCATTGAGTTCATTGTAAGATAAAAAACAGAATCTGCTTCTTCATTCCTTTTCCCAGTTTCTGCTGGAGTTAAGAACTAAGGTCATTCCACACTCAGACTTACCCAAATTGTTCTCATCTTCAGCTGGCCATGATTAGCTTGATTCAATTTTTTAAATAGAGCTTCTCTGTTTTATTAAGACATACCAGGCAGTAAGTTTTTTTCCCCTGTGTACTTATGTGGTCAAGGATGTTGCTAGCTAAAAACAAACTAACACATTTTAGACTCCTAAAGAATACTTCCTTTTCTGAAAAAATAAAAAAGAAAGGGGAGAAAAATTTTAGAAACATTTTCGCAAGTTTCTTTCTCACTGTGCGATACTGATATATGTTACATTACCCAATATTCATCTTTTCAAGTAATAATCCAGATGAAATTGAGATGAATAGCTCATCTCTTAAAGAGTTTCTTTTTTCTTGAGACAGTGGAATTCTTTTTCCTAAGCAATTTGCTGATAAAAAACTGGTGCTGTCGTGTGTTTTCTTCTTTGCCTTAGCTTATCAGAAATAGGATTAGAGGTCTTGTTCACATATTTACTGATGAAACATTCCATCACGTCTTCACAAGTGTTGTACACTAAGTTTCAAGTGTCCAGGGATAAGGCAGACTAGTACAATTAATAAACCATTTTTTCAAGTTTTTCTTCCAGTGGCCGACTGCCTGTTTTCTCCTGACGTGAGTCAAGCTATTTAATGTGCTGGAATCCATCGTGTAGGGCTTTCTCCATTCATGCTAAGTGATTGAATTCACAGTGCCAATGAATTAGGGCCTCATTTGTCACTTTGTTGAGAAGAGGTTTTTGGACCCATTTAGTTGGCAGATTGGCTGGAGTGGGAACTGGGCAAGAACCTGCCCCTGAGCCACCATTTCTTTCCTCTTCAAACATGATTCATAATCAGCCTGGAAGAAGCATAAAGATAACAGAGGATGACCAAGTGCTCTGAAAAGTGGGTGCTGTGAAGCTGATTGTGTTAGCAGGACAGACTGGCCCCTGCTAGACCAACCACTTGGGTGTCCATGACATGGTGCCTTTAAAAAAGAGCCAGCACTGGCTTGGTGGAACCATACTTCTCTAAAGTGTGTTAGCTTAAAGAAAATTTCCATCTTTCAGCTGCTAGCGGCCCCAGTGCCAATTAGAGTGAACATACTTGACAGTTTTACTCTTGCAACCCTGGAAACATTGGAGTTTCAGAGCTGGAAGCCAGGCTGGCTTCATAGTGACCTTAAACTATGCAGATGTGCCCTGCACTCAGCTGCCTGCAGAATGGGAATGGGGTAGATGTGTGCCCCAGCATCATTGACATTCCAGGAGGGTGCTCCCTGCCCAGCCGCCCCCTCACCAGGTGCCGCACTTCCCATTAGTTCTCAGAAAGGAAAGCAGTTCAGAAAGGGGGATGCAGTAGGTCAGAAGGAGGGCAGTCTCTCATGGAGTGGGGGCTGCCTACTTACTCCCTGGGAGGAATTATCTCCTATGGAAAAGGGGTTCTAAATTAAGTCTTAGGATACAAGCCCTACCTCTGAAGGTGCTCAGGCCATGAGGGCTACAACTGCAGGTCTGGTTTGTCGACCTTTTGGTCTCCAGCCAAACACACCAGCCTCCCTATAGAATTGCTTGAGTGTGTGGGGAGAGTCAGGTTATTTTTAATTGAAAGATAAGTTTCTTCTTGAAAAATGGGAACACTGAAACCTGCAAGGCAAACGGGAGAGTAAACAGATGTCACAACGTCTAGGCCTAAAATAGGGGGTTTATCTGTGATTAATGCATCACTACAGGATCTGTGGACAAGCTGCAAGGGGCCCAGGAAGCCCACGAACATGATTGAAAGTTTTGTTTTACTTTTGTACTTTGTACAAAAGAAGGTCTGTAGCTCCCATCAGACCTTCAAGTAGATCTGTAAAAACAACAAAAGTCAAGATTCCCCAGGCTAGCAAAGAGTGAAGACATACAAGATGTCTTTTAAGAGGCACCCTGTCTGTGCCCAACCCCAGGGGCATTCATCATCATAGCCCCTGCTCCCCACCCAACCAGACACTCAACAAAGATAGACCCAAAGTCCCTGAGAGAGGACTCTGCATTCAGCGGAGGTTTAAGGAACCTTCCACAAAGTGGAGAAGAGATTTTAAAATCACTTTTCTTCCATCTTTGTTCAAGCAAGTTTTTGATGGATGTCTTTGAATTTTTTTAAGCCCTTATATTTTGTATTATTCATACAGTTAAAGTCCTCCATTCCAATTTTTTGTCACTTGGCCAAGTGATAAAACTGAGCTTTGACCTGTGTAAAGCAATGTTTGCTTCTACCCAGAATCATGAAATCAAAATTCACAAGCATGTCTTACTCAACCCACTTCTCTTACCATGGAAGCCCACAGACGTTAAGCAGCCTTCTCGAAGTCACATATCTAGTTTGTAGTAGAGGTAGTGAGTCATTTTATTCTTTATTCTTATCAAAGAAAGGGACTTATAGAATTAATGGAACTTTACAAAGTTGGGGGTCTTTATGGGTACCATTTAAAAGAAGGCATAGTGTGGTTGTATAAAAACCTCACAAAAGCCCATCTTCTCGGCCTTTTTCAGACCTGTTTCCTTTCCTTCATGGGCTGGCTCCCCCTTCTTCCCCACCGTACCCCTACTCCCGAATCAAAGCACCCCTGTGTTGAGCTCCACAGAGGCCTTCCTCCTGGGCTCGCTGGAGACTTTCATTCTCAAACTTGGGGTGGCTGCATTCACACAGAAAGGGCATTTATTTGTTCATGTGCTCTTGCTTTCAATCATCCAGTCTTCCCACCATGCTGCCCAAAGAAATAGGAAGGTCAAGGGCAGGAGAAAGGAAAACTCCCATGGGTGTTTCTCCCTTAGGAAACTTGAGACTTGCCACTTCCCAGGACTCCAGGTACAGAAGCATCTTTTCATCCAGCAGGAGGCTGCAGAGTGCATGTAGAATGGTGGGTTTTGTTAACAAATTGCTGTTAGTTTCCTTTTTTCTCATTCTTAGTACTTCTTAGGAACTGTGTCTGTTCTTACCTCGAGCCTTCTATAGGGCCAGAGATTTTTCCACAGAGAGCCCCTTGCTTATGAATAAGAACTCCTTTCACCTTTGTTCAGATTGTCCCACGTTGCTGCCTTATAAAAAAAATGTGTTGTATGTGTAACCCAGATTATGTCCCTATTAAGTGAATTTGTAATGACTCCCTCGTGAGCTTAGCAAAAGTATGTCTAGACAATTTTTTCTGGCTTTCCCTCCCAAACCTCTTTGGGTTAAAAATAGGGAAGGATTTATTTTAATACAGTGTCGTACTGTATCTTTAACCTTTTGTCTAAATACATATTGCCTCTTTAAGTTTTATTTAGAGAAAGTGTGGAGCTTATAAACCAGCTCACTCAGACCTTGAGACTGCCCCTGGCTGGCCTTCCTGCTGCCAGCGGATTAGCCAAGTCTCCAGAAGTGTTTTACAGGAAGCTTAGATGGAGGGAAGCACCTAATTATTATCCAAATTTTTCCCTTTAGTTAAGTCTTACTGTAAGATATCCCAGAGATTATATTTTTAGCAACCACTTTAAAGAGACTGGGGGAGATAAATTTGAAATTTACAATCACGTGACCGCACCACAGCTTAACACGCTCAAGGTCCGCCTCCTGCAGCTGGCTGCTCTGGAGGGACTCCCGTGCAATTCTCTTTGCTGCCACTTGAAATCAGAAATCACAACCGCAGTGATTAGCAGTGAATTCCCTGATCGCCACACCCCTGTCAGAGGGAGAGGGGCCTGTTTTCTTGGTAGCCAGTAGTTAACCCCTTCATGGGATGGGTAAGAGGCAGAGGAAATGATTAGTGGGTCTGAGGTGGGCCCTCAGCACCTCTGTCTTTCCAGAAGCCGCCTGGGTCATGCTGAACGTCAGCAGGCTTAGGAGCCTCAGCTTTGCAGGAAGTGAAGGGGAATGGCCGAGAAGGAGCTTCTCTGGCCCAGCTGAAGCTGTGCTGTCCTCCCGAGACCGCTGCCACCTGTCCCCACAGGTTGAGGAGGCCCCGCTTCCAGGGCTGCAGAGCAGCCTTGTCAAGCTGGGAGAGCCTATCTTTGCAGAATGAAGCAGAAAAGCCTGCTTTCTCCCCCTCTTCCAGCTCTCTTTTTTTTAAAAACGGCCTCTGGCTACCAAGTGGACGATTATGGATAGTATTGTAGAGCAGCAGTAAGCAGTGTTAATGAGCTGCAGGCTATCAGATACAAAAAAGAAAATATTTTCCCTGCGGGCCAAACAAAATTAATTTTAAAAATTAATGTAAACCACTAACGCTGCAAGTGCCTCCATTAAATTATGGGACTGTGACATGTACAGTGCTATATTTTTGCCATTGAATTTGTTATCTAAAAGGTGTTCATTGTTTGTTATGGTGTGAAAGGCTGTTTTCCTCCAGATAAGCTTGTTCATTAGTAAACTGGATCCCTGCCACCACCCCGTTTCTTTGCACTGAAGTAATGCCTTGTAGCATAAATGCAGACAGCCGCTGTGCATTTAATATCAGAAATGTAAATCAGAGCATCCAGTCTGATTTTAAATGGCTTCAGTCTTTCCCAGGATGAAATCTGGGGAAAAAATTTCTTCTCTGCTGCTTTTGACACCATGGCTTTGGCAGACAGGCCCTGAAATAGGCTGATAATTATTAAAGTATCTTGTTTCCCACTGAGGTCTATGGATCGCTCTGTCATTAGACTGGATTTATTTCTAGGGTTTCATTCACGCTGTGACAGCTTGGGATTGATAAATCCTGTGTTTTAATTTCAGGCAGAAATGAAACCGGTAAAAAGCAATTTGGGAGGGGAACAAGCCTGGGTAAAATGGCTGTGCATCTTAATGCCTGAATATGGAGCCGGAGTACGGAAGACATCCTGGCTGGCAGGCTGAAATGTCAGCCAAGGCAGCCAGCTCACCAGAGTCAGGCCCCAGAGAGCAATGGGTAGGGCAGGCCCAGAGCACCCTGCAAACGGCAGGTGCCCTGTGCTGGGCTTGCAAGCACTGGCCTTGCCTCTGAAGAGGGGGAGAGCAGACGGGAGAAGTGCTGTGTCCCACCTGGCAGAGCCGGAGCGCAGGATGTGTGCTGTACAGTGAGCGCAGATGCAGGTGCTTCCTGGGCACTGCAGCCGTCGTTTCAGATGTGCTTGCGCACCCATGCAGGGTGCGGCCCTGGCCCAGTCCAACCTGAGGACGCGTAGGCTCTCAGTGCACCTTACACTGTACTTCTCATGGTGTTGAGTAAGCTCAGGGTCTGATTTTTTTTTTTTTTCCAAAGAGAAGCCAAGATTACTGACTCCTCTGATATTCTTTTTGGCTTACTTAGCAAATACTGAGTTTAGCACTATTTCAAATCTGAGGGATGCATCCATAACCAATTGAGAGTGGAAAAAAAACCTGATTAGCAATGAGCTCATTCTAGAGAAACGGGATCATTAAGATGCTGTGTGAAAAAGCACTGGAGCACCCTGCCCAGTCAGCTTCTGGGGGCACCCTGCCCTTGCCCTGATGTGGAAACAGCTGGACTGATGACACACAGGAAGGGTGCCCTCGTCCTCTGTGGGCTCTGTGGCCTCCCATGGGGTTGCTGGTGTTCGTTCACCTGTGCTCTGAGCACTTCACACCACAGGCCGGGGCTGGAGCAGCTGTAGGAAGGGTGGGTAGAACTGGAACCTCCCTCCTCTTCCAGACTCTCCATTTCACTAAAGAGGAAACTGGGCTTCTCATTGATGACTTGCTGCTGAAAAAGGCAGAGACTATCTGGCTCATTCTAGAACACCCATCAGAAAGTTGTGGCAAAAGGCTTCTAACTGGGCCTGCGGATCACATAGATTAAGGCAGGGACTGATGCCATCACTAAGACGACCATATGTCCTGGATGGCCTGGGATAGCCC